AGATGGATTAAAGATCCTGCGAGTGCGCCTTGGAGACTGAGATTTTGGATGAATTAGATGGAAAAGCTAAAGGAGATATGTATAGAATGGGAAATTAGACATTCACTGAGAGAGGCTAACCAAGAAGCCGATTCACTTGCTAAAGCTACTATCCATCTTCAAAGTGAGATATTGAGAGGGTACTAAACTCCTTTTTTAATCTTGATTGTGGAAGTGAGGTTCAACTATGGCTAACCCTTGATTTCGGTTTGATGGGGGGTTATAGCTGTTAACGAGCCTTGAGTTTTTTCGTCTGTATTTGCGGTTTTTAGTAATGATCCCTCTCCTGCGCCTTTTGGATTGGGAGAGATGACAATTGAGATGTAGGGATGTGTAGGTAAGTTTGTGGGTGTCTGCAGTTCCCTGAGACCATTTTTTTTTTAAGAGAGAAGAATGTTGTGACTTTTTTTGGGGTTGCTTCTGTTCTTTAGGGTTGGTGATGTGTACAGGGGACATTTTTCTTTGATCTTTTGAGGAGGTTTTTGGAAACATATATCAAATAAAATGGATTGATATATGAACCAAAGCTTTCTGCTTTAATCGTTATGTGTAAGGAAGGAGGGGTTCATGTCCCTGCATTATGAATAAACTTGATGCCTTTGTTATTAAAAAAAAAAAAAGATTTTCCCTCTCTTTTTGCTTTTCCTTTTCCTTTTCCATTTTCATACTTTCTCTTCCCTCTTTGGTTTAATTTCAACTTCTTTTTTAGGCAATGAAGACTTGTTGACGGCTTACGAAGCAATCTATACAATATATATGTTTCTCAATAAAAAATATGCTGCCTAACATGATTGATGGGTACATATCTCCAGCACTAATATATGCTTATATAACATCATTTTAAATGAGTTTTTTTTTTCTCGATTTCAATTTGTTCAACGAGTATTTGTACTCAATACAAAGTTTGAAACTTTTGAATTCAAGGGAAATAAAGAATTGGAGAGAGAAGTACAGATCTAGCGGTTACCTCAAGTTGATGTACCTTGCTTTCTCCAAATTTTTTCCTTTCTTTTCTTGTATTTGGGCAACTTAACTGGATACTAATTTTATTTTATATTACATTGTACATGTACATAAACATATATAGCTAAATGATCCCCCTTTTTTTCAGCTTGACAAAGGATTTACTTAGAAGTTGAGTTGAATTATTCTTTCTTTGCAATTTTTAGGTTGCCATCAACAAATTCATATCTCTTTCACCATTTGGGGATTCTGCAATTTTTAGGGTAAGTCCTTATTCCTTGCTTTTGCCATTAGTTTTGCTTGTGTGATGGCCTGCAACAATCAGTAGGCCTTCAATGCCTAATATGGTGTAATAAAAGAATACCAATTTCACATGTTTGATTGCAATAACCTAATGATCAAAGAGGAGAATTACTTTGCACCCAACTAACCATTTTCTTTCTTTCATATCTGCAACCACATTCACCCAGCAGAACTCATTCCTTTTAATTTGGAAGGGAAAACGAAAACAAGAAAAGTAATTTTCAATTTGTTGTACAAGAAAAACAAATGTCAAGGTAAAGCCGATGGTATATAGATTGAATATCAAAAGAAAATTCAACTAGTTTAAATGAAAATTCAGACTGGCAATAGTTATTGCATTTTGGGTTGTGTTTATTTATATGTTTGTAATTTAACCATGTTAATTTGAATCAAAAATATTTTTTTTTTAAATTGATTCTAAGGTTGGTCACAGTGAGTCAGTGACATTGAATCTGATGCGTGTCACAAATAGAGCAATATACTTTATTTTTATTGGTCTTTAGGCAATCTGAGAATTCATTATAAATAATAGTGATACTAAAAGAAATTTGTGTAGATAGGTATCCTTTTTTTTTTTTTGGTCATACCAAGAAATTCAAGGTGAAAAAACGGATTCAAACATTGCATCTTTCCCTTTCCTCTTAAGCAGGGGGGACAACTACTTGATAACTCATTTATTGTAGGCATAATATCTAAACAAATCCCTTAAATTATATATTAATTAAAATCAAATAAGTTTTTATTATTTTATTACGTTCAATTAAGCTCTTATACTTTTATTTTAAGTCAAATAGACTATTATGATTAGTGATTAATTAACAATCGTTAACCAACTCGTTACTTGTTATTTTATACCATGTGGTGTTGAATTCTCTAAATGCAACTTTAAACATTTGAAAAAGCTAAGTTTAGTAAGAACTAAGTAAAGATGTATGGTTAGGTAAGATTTGTATTTATTTGGTTCGTGAAATTTAAACTAATTCTAAATTACAGTTTAATATGATCAAGGTGAAAATATTCTCATTAAACTTGGTCTTACACACGCTTTTAATTGTAAAGGAAAAATTCTTATTGTATATTTATGAAATTGATGGGAAATTGAACTGGATTTTTATAGTTTCTATAACAACCCAAATGTTAGTCATCAATGTCTGATATGTAGACAAATACTAGATATATCCTGCTAATAAAGAAACAATGGAACTTAGATTTCCGAAGTCAATTCTGCAATTACAAACACGTGATTCATTTCTCTGTCAAACTCTCAGAATCAAAGTTGGGAAGGAAACAAACAAACAAACAAAGCAGTAAATCTTTAAAGATTAGACATTTCAGATCTCCATTCTTCTTCAAAACAAAGCAGACTCGAGAAATTTCCCCAGCACTTAATTACATATATGCCAGAATGACCTTTACTCAGACATTGCCAAGTTCAAAGTTAATTGAGCAAAGCTTCCTCCCACAGCCCTTTTCTTTCTTCATTAAGAGTATATTTTGCTTTTATCACATGCAGCATTTATAATTCCACCAGTTGCATTGTCACTTTCTTCTCTCTACTGCACCGACAGACTTACTGTTTTAGCACATCTTCATTTGACTCCTTACCCTATTTTCTTAAGCCTTTGGCACCCCATTGAGAGCTACATATTTCCTAGCTAGCTAACCTCAAATGCAAAATCCATCAGAAAACACCACTCACTATTAAGCTGCTGCAATGTCCCTTCTCTTCCTAATCACAACTTGAAGCCCTCCTCTTACCATAGCAGTGAGCCCTGGATCAAACTGGGGTGCAACCTTGGGTGCCACAAGTTCAATGTCGAATTGGCGTAACACAGACAGGACCACCATTTTCATCTCCACTAACGCTAATTCTTTTCCTAGACAAACCCTTACCCCGGCTTGGAAAACTGGGTACTTGAAAGGGCATTGTGGACAAAAAGTACCGTCCTTAAGCCATCTCTCAGGTTTAAATTTGATGCAATCCGAACCCCAGACGTTTTCCATCCTCCCCATTGCATAAGGATGGTATGTTACCCTTGTCCCCTTTTGAACAAAAGTGCCATCAGGTAAAATATCATCCTTGCAAGCAAATTTTGAATCAAATTGTACAGGAGGATACAGTCGCAAGCTTTCATAAACCGTGGCATGCAGATAAAGCATTTTCGTTATCTGATCATAGCTCGCGAATTCTTGATTCGACTCCCTGAATTGATCTGACTCTTTTCGAATTTCTGAGATGGCTATGGGGTGATTGGCTAGCAGCCAGAATAATGTAGTCAATGCAGAGGCCATGGTGTCACGGCCAGCCAAAATAAAGCTTATAACAATGTCTCTTAAATAAGAGTCATCATTAATGCAGGCCATGAATCTTGATAGAAGATCTTTATGTGTAGAAAAGCCAAGTTTCCTCTTTTGCATGAGCACCTCCATGGCAAGACCATTGACCACTTCAACAGCCTTCTTGAGTTTTTTCTCACTGCCTATGTTGAAAATCCTCTTGATCTTCCAGAGTAATGGCACTGGTGCCATTCCCCTCTCTGCTGATAGCTTGGATGCTAGATCAAAGGCATCAGCGAAATGGGATATTGGTAATGATGATTCAAGACAACCAGGGTCTAACCCGAATGAAAACTTGCAAATATTATCGAAAGAAAATCGTATAAAAACTTCTTGCAAATCCAAAATGCTACCATCTTTTCTAGAAAACGATGATAACAGAGGGAGAAGCCGATATTTGATCTCCGTAGCGACGATCTCGAATGCATATGCTCGGATAGCGAAGTTTGCAAGCTCTAGACTTGCCATTTTCCTTTGGAACATCCACAAGTCTCCATCTACATTGAAAATTCCTTTGCCTAAAAGGTCGCCAAGGATCATGGCGAAAGATTTTCCTTTCGGGTAGTTGTTGAATCTAGTTTTAAGCATATATTCAACATTTTCTGGATTAGCTGTGATTGTGTTGTTCAGAACATGAATGTGAATTGTTTGGCTTGGAGATTTTTGGAGAAGATATGTGTACCAATCACAGAGATTGTTGAATTCTTTGGACCAAGTTGATGAGAGGTAGCCATGGCAAATGTCACAGCTGCACCAAATTTTCTGTCTTAGATAGAGTAAGACACAGAATAGAAAGAAGGGTAAGGTGATGAAGGAGAGAAGGCCAAAATATGTTTGCATTGACAGCAAAAAAGAGAAAGGCTGATACTCCATCCAAGACTAAAACTCAATACTCAAAGGGAAGAATGAGAAGAAGTCAACAAGACAGCAATGAAACTTTGGTAAATTCAGTGCCCTCTAATTTATAAAGATTTCAAATCTCATCTATAACCTTGTTATTAATTTAATTAGTGAGATGTCGCTTTCCTTTGGCCCCAGAGATATTGCCTCATGAATTAAATGAAAAAACTTTGGCAACAATTGCTTGGAAGGCAACTTTACCTTTGCACTTGCTACATCGTTCATACCTTCGTATTTCCTGTAAAGATTAAGGTTAAAATTACAACGTCACATTTGGCTAGCGTATGTGAAATAAAAGTGAAAATGAATAGTTATTATGTAAAAATAAAATAAAATAAAATAAAAATATACTACAATAGATAAGATGTAATTTAGTTTATAGAAAAGAATTATCATTTTGATAATATTCTAATGTTTGTTTGGTAAAATAATTTTAAACAATAAAAAAATAACTGATAAAATGATAAAAATAACTTTTATAGTAATTTAGTAAAATTTTTGAGATTTTTGAAATTCATTACTTTTTAACAATATATTATTATTATTACATTGTAATTTAATATGGTATCCTTAAAATATTAAGTTTTTATATTAAAATATTAATATGATTAATTTTAATTTTTTATTTTTTATTTTGATTTTTCCCATTTTCCTCTTTCTAATTTCTTTTTTTTAAATCTTAGGAAAATATAAATAATTTATTATTAATATATTGATATGATTTTTATTTTAGTTTCTTTTTATTTTTTTATTTTCATTTTTCCTTTTTTCTCTTTTATTTTTTATTAAAATATTATTCATTGAATAATTTATTATGAACTTATTAATATGATATTTTATCTTCATTTCTTTTAATTTTTATATCGATTTACATCTTCATTTTTCTCTTTGAATTCTTTTTTATTAAAATATTAATATTTAACAATTTATCAATATAATACTAAGAATTTGGATAAACTACTCTAACTCCCTTAAGTTTTGACCATGATTCTAAGTGGGTCTATTAGCATTCAAAATGGACAGTCCATCCTAAAAGAATATCTTTCGCTCCTGTCGTTAATCACTCATCAATATTTTTGTTAATTTAATGGCATGTTAATATTTTTAGGACAATTTTGCTTTTTATTAATTTTAAAAATTGTCACTAGGTAAAATACAATTTCTTCATTTTTACAATTTCTTTCTCTCCCTACCAAAGCATTCTCTTTCCTTCTCTTAATATTTTTTCTCCACCGCAGACAGCGGTGGAGGTGGAGGTGGGAAACGGCGACGATAGACAACTTGTCGAGCATCGATCGAATGTTCTCAAATCGGATATGGTCGCGAGAACATCAAATCAAACGTTCCTAGGACAAATCCAATCACAAGAATGCCAAATCTAGTACTCCTCGACTAGATTCAATCGTGAAAACACTAGATTTGGTGCTTCCTAGCCAAATTCAGTCGCGTGAGAGCTAGATTTGGTGCTCCCATGGCCAGATATGGCCTCGGAGTATCAGATATAACTTTCCCAAACATCATTTGGCACTCCCACAGTCGAATTTGGCTAGAGAGCATTAGATCTAGCCACGGGATGGCAAGTCGATGCAAAGGAGCATTGCCGATTGGCTTGAGAAAAAAGTAAAGAGTGGAGGAAGAAAAATGGTATTTTAGACATTTCACATTTTCCCGTTAACGTCGTTTACATTTGGGATAGACTGTCCATTTTGAATGCTATTGGACCCATGTGGGATTATGACCAAAACTTAAAGAGATTAAAGCATTTTACCCTAATAATTTATTATTAAAATATTAATATGATTTTTATTTTAAACATCAAAAATAGAAATTTTCCATTCTTAACGATGACTATTCTTTAAACATAGAAACAACCATCCAATAAACCTACTTTGGGATACCTATTACAACCTATTAAAGAGGAAAAATTCTTTTTTGAATGAAGCATATTCTTTTAATACTAACATGTTTCAATCACGGAATATAATAAAGGAGAAATGAAATAGTTATTTTGTATAAATAGAATAAGGTAGTAGTTGCTATTATGTATTTTAGTTCGTGGAATGAAATTTTTATTCTAAAATTATTCCAATAGTTGATTTCTAAAATAGATTTGAAATAACAAAGAAATAACTGATAAAAAGACAAAAGCACTCTTTATTATAATTTATTATTTTTAATTTAAAATATTAATTTTTTGATAATGTATTAAAATTATTAATAACTTTTAATAAAAACTTTCACGATTATTTCATTTAATTTAATTTTTCTTTTCTTTCATTTTTAAAAATATTAAAATTGTTAATAATTTATAATTTATATAAAATATTAATAATTTATAATTAAAATTTTAATTTAATTTTTTTAACTTGAAGTATTAATTTTTAATAATTTATTTACAATGTTAATTATTTAGAATTAAAACTTTAATATAATTTCTTTTCGTCCTAGCATTTGACTTATTAGTCGATCTATAATACCGTTGCAAAGAAAGTAGGATTTGAATCCCTTTTTCTCCAATTAAAAACAAATCTTTAATATAATTTTTTGTTTTAATTTTTTTTCTTTGTTTTCTCTTTTTCTTATTTTCTTTCTTTTCCTATTGCTCGACCATAAGAGATGTGGCCAGCACAATGGAGCATCGATTTGGCACTCCTCATGTCCAAATTTGGCCATTAAAGGTGCCGATTAATAACTACCACTGTCTTTCGTTTGTAGTAGAAGATGCTTAAAGAGATAATGAAAGAGGTGGATGATGAAGGTAGAGAAAGCATAACAGCTAATGTTAGGTTTTCTTTTACATATATATATATATATAGTAGTAATTTCTCAAAATAATTAAGAGAATTTTGTCCAAAAATTTCTTAGATTATTTAGGCATGCAGAAAATACCTATTACCAAAAAGTAGGTAAATTATAACTATTTTGACTTCTCCAAAAATATCATTTTAAGGAATGACTAATCATTGACCAATCATTAGAATAAAGATGAAAAAAGGAAAAGGCAATGGAATAGTTAAGGGCATTAAAACCTAGGGTTGAGCGGTTGAGCAGGACCTGGTCCCATTGGTTATTTAATTTATATTTATTATTAAAATAAATTTTATATTTATATTTTAATATTTTTAAATAAAATTAAACAAAAATAAATATTTATTAATATGATAATTTCTTGGTTGGACTTGAGCTTAATTAAATAAAAATCTTGTTTAGAGTTTGGCTCAAATTGTGCTAGTCTTGCAGGCAACCGGAGCCGTGAACAAGACTACATGATAGTCAACATCTTCTTCAAGATTTTTGACAACAAGGAGAAATACAAAATTATAAAACAAAATTGAAGGATAATAAATAGAATAAGTAAAAATAAAAATGGAGTTGAACAATAATAAGTTGTATAACAACAAAAAGGTATATGAACAAATATTAGAAATAAAATCATAACTGTGCTATATGGTAAATTAAATATAAAATGCTAATATAATGATAAAGTTACTTTATAATTAGAGACAATTTTTTTAGCCATCAAAGATAAATGTTTTCAAAAATAACTCTTTTAATTTTAACTGTTTCTAGTCAACAGAAAATATCTTTGAACAAATTACCCTTAATAAAACTTCCTCATATTCAAGCACATGTATTAAAAAAGTGCTACTACATGCCATGTTGAAAAAAAAGCAATGTTAAATGTGTTTTTTTTATGGTTACAAGAAATGTAAGAAATAAAATAATCTCAAAAGCTAATTATCCTAATTTGGGGATTTAAAATAATATCTTTTGTCCAAATTTATTTCATCGCGGCAATAGCATTGATATTGAATAACTTTTCCTTTCCATTTCAAATTCTTTTTTTATTTTAAATTTTATTTCTATCATGAAGGTGTTTAATACCAAGAGTTTATATCTTATTGAAATATAAGATAGAGACCGAGTTATAGGATATGTTTAAAAAATATTATTATTACACATCATATTTAAAAAAATATTGTTACACGCTCTGTCGAAGAAAAGTTTGCATGCCATGTTTAAGGTGTTTACTCTTAGAGTTTATGTTATAGTAAAATGCAAAGGATCAAGTTACTCACCATATTTAAAAAATGTTGTTCCACATCATATTCAAAAAATTTTTACTATTTCTTATTTTTAAAAAAATATTATTACATGCAAGCATGTACAAAAATATGTTGTTACATGCCATGCCATATTCAATAGATTTGTTACAAGTCAAGCATATTAGAGTTGTTACATGCAGACATGGCATGTAATAACTCTGAGCGATGTTCTAATTTACAAATTTCTTTTCATTTATAACTTCAATCTATCAACTTTTGGGTTTATGAATGTAAACCAATTGTTAATTTTTGAAGAAAATTTTGTAAAAAAATAAGAACTTTGAAAATTTTCAAAAAAAGAGGAAGATGAACAAATTAAGGGATTAACTTTGGAGGAAAAAACTCTCTCACCTTCATTCAAATTTTTTAAAATATATATAACTACAAAATATCAAAAACGACTAATCTATATATGTAGCCTCAAAAAACAAAAAATCCCAAAATGTTGGTGGAGTGCACAAAAATGACTAATCTATATATCTAGCAGTACATCATGACCACTCAAATGTTAGAGAGTCAATTAAAGAATTTGAAAAAGTTTTTTAGTAATAAGCCTTTCAGTGCAATACGGTCCTTTCATCAAATATCCTGGATATGTCATAAAGCATGGCTCAGTATCTATTTAGAACATTACATATTAGTTCTCATAACCTTAAACCCTAAACCCTAACCTTATGAATTTAAGTAACTAACTATCTTCAAATTCATTATGCCTTAGCCAAAAACTTTATACAAGTTAATCAAGAATTGAGAACAAGTGAGATATGTCCCCTCATATCACTTGGGGTGATAAATCTTTCTTGACTATGCATTCACCTTCGCATGCTTCATGGCATATCCAAAAACACCTTGTTTAGGCATCTAGTT